GTCTCAAATCTGATCCTCAGGATCTTTTGAGGAGCGTTTGTTTCCAGAAGCTTTACTTTCACTGTTCCTCAGCGGAGGAATGATCTTCACAAGCCTCCAGAACATCTCACATCTTCTGAGGAGCCTTTATTTCTTCAGCTCTCAATCACTGCATTATATGTTTGGATCGTTTCATTCTCATCTTATTATTACTGGAGATATAGAGCCACGACTGATATTTATAGCATTTTATGTTATGAAGATCTCACTGATTTACTTTAAAAGCATCAGAGTTTCATCATATAAATATCAGCATCTGATGCAAATTCATATTTTTGAGTCTCTGAATAAAACTGAGCTGTTTTTACTACATATTCTCGCTCTATCAGACTATATGAGCCATAAAAGCCTGATGGATCAAATATTAAAAACACATTAACTTTTTTTTGTTGTTGTTCAGATGACGTGGCTTTCTATGAGTGGTACGTTCCTGAAGGAGAGAGACATGAATCGGCTCTGAAGAGGAATAAAGAGAGTTTAATCGCCGAGCTCAAACTGTGGGAAGGATACTTGGAGAAGGTTGGGTTTTATTGATATTTATTGATAATATGTGACCCTGGAGCACAAAAGCAGTCATAAGGGTCAATTTCTCGAAATTTGAGATTTATGCATCATCTGAAAGCTGAATAAATAATCTTTCCATTGATGTATGGTTTGTTAGGATAGAACAATATTTGGCTGAGATGCAACTATTTGAAAATCTGCGAGATACAACTATTTGAATATCTGGAATCTGAGGGTGCAAAAAAATCTAAATATTGAGAAAATCATCTTTAAAGTTGTCCAAATGAAGTTTTTAGCAATGCATATTACTAATCAAACATTAAGTTTTGATATATTTACGGTAGGACATTTACAAAATATCTTCATGGAACATGATCTTTACTTAATATCCTAATGATTTTTGGCATAAAAGAAAAATCTATAATTGTGACCCATACAATGTATTGTTGGCTATTGCTACAAATATACCCCAGCGACTTAACACTGCTTTTGTGCTGCAGGGACACATTTAATAAGACGGCAGATAGTCATTGTTTTAGGCGGCTGTTGCAAGTAATTGCAGCCTGAAATCTTATCAGTAAAATTATTAGAGTTATAGAGGGTGAACTTGACCTTTGTTTAGGTCTCCTCATAACTGATAAAGTCCTTCATTTTTTTAACGTTTCTTTCTGAAATGAATCGCATTACAAAAGCGGAATGGATTATGAATGCACATGTTGATTGTAGTGATTGAATTCTTGTCTTTATTCGTAGAGGAGATGCTGTAACTGTATTTGTGGGGATAAAAGTGAACCTTCATTTGTTGAACCTTCTGTAACGATGAGTGATTTGTTCATAGATGGGTAAAGGCTCGTACCTCGCTGGCAAGAACTTCACCATGGCCGATGTGGTTTGTTTCCCCGTCATCTCATATTTCCCACGACTTCAGTGAGTGAATCGCTCTGGATATAAAGCGCTTTTCATTACGGCATGTTTAACCCTCATAATGCATTTGTGTCGGTTCTGACGGAAGAGATACATTAAAAAAAAAAATAATAATAAAAAATGCATAGTTTGTATTAAGGGAACAGAACTTTGCAAATGCTTTAAGAAACATGTTATATATATATATACAAACAAAAATGTAACAATGTAAAAAAAATTACAAAAATGTGTATATATATATATATATATCAAAAATGACCCAAACATGAAATGCGTTATATCTCTGGGGAAATTTTTTTTTTATATATATATATTTATTTATTTGTATTATTATCTTATTTTTTTCCCCAGAGATATAACGCGTTTCATGTTCAGGTCATTTTTGACCCGGGTTTGTATGGAACACCATTAGATGTCAAAAATACCTTCTGTAAAATTATCTATGACGTTACATTAGTGTCTGTAAAATATACTTAGCCTTTTCCCCATATCTCACATACTTTTGGACTAAATTTTGTATTGTCAATGGGAGGAAGCCACGCCCTATTTTGGAGCTCCCACCCCGTTTAGAGATCTCCAGGCTGCAGTTATACCCGTCACCCTTTGGTCTCCATTGAAGTCCATTTCAAGGAGAAATATCCTGGACAGTTTTCCTCACAAACCTTGCTTTCTGTTTTACAGCTAAATCAAATAATTAATCACCATTGCATATTCCTTGAAGCTGACACTATATGTTCTCGTGTGTTATCTTTCGTTCGCTCGGATGTCCAGGGAGAGCGCGGACGCAGTCCCCAATATCAGAAATCTTGCAGTTGAGATTCTCACATGTGGAGAATTCATAGAGGTCAGAGCGCCGGAGTGCAATGGCTGCTCCTCACTCTAGACGATCCTCCTGCT